CTGCAAACTAGCAAGCGTGAGTGAAGGAATGTGACAAGTGCTGTCCAAGAAGGACGCTGTGTGGCTTGCTATGTCTCTAGTGATGTCTAGGAGCGTTCTTACCTGTATTCTGTAGGTAGTAAAGCTCAGTCCACTGGCTCCAGGTCCAGCAGAAATAATAAACACTTCATCGCTCCCTGTCTCGGTGGTCACTGCAGAGGTGGAAGAGGGCACATCTGGGTCAGTATCCTGAGGAGACTGATCTGTGCTGCCTCTGCAGGAAGTGACTGAGAAGAGAAAATCCATGTAAAAACAACTGAGAAGAGTCCAAAGCATCTGTTCCTAGCTCATCTACGACAACTGCCTTTCCCTCTCTCCCCAGACAAGCTAGAGCCACTTCGAGCTGTCACACTGGTCAGAACTAAGCTCAGACCAAGTTTGCTCTCCTGAACCTACAAGCTTTTAAAAATAAGACGGAAGGGGATGAGGGGAAGAAAGGAATGACCTTGAGTCTGCCGTTTGATAAAGACAGACCCAAACTGAAATCCACCATACGATATGCACAAGGTTTTCCTGCAGATCAGATTATTTTTTTTTTTAATCCATATTTACTCATTCCTGATAATGGCGAGCTCTGCTTTTTCTCTGAAGTGCAAGCATTTCCTGCTTGAGCCTTGACAATGTTGCTCCCACAGGCAGCCGTATGCTGCAGGTATATGCACCTGCTTGCATCCTCAAGGCCTAATCCTATGGTCCAGGCCAAGATATCTCTGCCTGTGGCTCCTGGCTGTGATCCTCTCAACGATCTTTGGAAGCAAGTAATTAGCTTTTGAGGAAGATACGGCTTTGAGAATTGTGTGTAAAAGCTGACGGTCTAGTGGGAAACTGATGGTGTGTAGCAATGTATTGTGAAGTGGTTCCTTGTTGGCCCTCCCCCAAAAGGAGAGCTAATAGAATTCATTGATTGTAACTCAAAATTGCAGCAAGTGACGTTATCTGCAGCTTGGCTGGGGAGCTCCTGCTCTTGTTTTGGAAACATGCATCTAAGGCAGTCTCACTTGAAAAGCCCTTCAGAAAGTCAGCTCCAGCAGTCAGATATGTCCAAAGCCAATGTAAGCATTATAAAACTCATCCCTTTCCAGGCATGGTTAAGCATGGGGCAGATGAGCCATCCACAATTTAAGGATTATTATAAGCTGCCGTTGTAGCAGCCTGAAGCACACACATAGCTCTGCTAACCCAGTGTCTCTGCAACACTGTGTACTAGGACGGCTTCTGCTGGCAGTGTCCTGAAGCTGTGCCCGTGTGCTCCTTGCCAGGGGAATTGCCGTCCCAGGGAGGGGGGAGAGCAGCAAGGGATATTCCCACAACAAAGCCTTTCTGCTGTCAAGCAGCTCTCCAGCTGTGCATGAGCGAGGCGGGTGGGGAGAGCAATGGTCTGATTAGCAGGCCAGGGCCGCGGGGTGCCCTGACCTGCTGCTGGGGTGCGCCGCGCTTACCCGCCTGCTCCCGGCTGACAGAGTGGTTGTTGTTTTCATTCTCCCGACTTGGCACCACGAGCTGGAGCTCATTGATATCAACAGCGGAGTTCTGGATCCCATTCTACAACTCAGAACATGCCCCAGTAAACATTGTCAGATAAACAGTGCAACAGCCAATATGAAAGAGAGAAACAGAAATTGCTGAAGCCATTAGCACTAACCTCCTGGTCACCGCATACGTTGGATGAGCTCCTTTTGGGGCACGTTCTCTGCCTGAAAAGGAGAGACAGCAAGAACAACAACAAGCCCACAAGTGAGTTAGACCCAGAGAAGGGAAGGTCTTGGCTCATGTAGTGGGAAGTCAGCTGGAGAAGGACCTGTCTTCCTCCCATGATCACCACGAAAGTGGAAACAGAGTTCAGACCTCTTCGAAGTCCTGCCAGCCTGCCCTCCGTAGGGAATAGTGCATACTGATGTGCTTTTTCACATCAGTAACTAAATAGCAGGAATGAAATCCGTTGGTCTGAGCAGTGACATTGTTCTTGCCCTGTTAGACTGTTTCATCGTGTGTAGTCAGTATTGCACTCTGTGTTGTATTTAGCAAGCAGAGAACATCAGATGTTCATCTGCATGACCATTTTATTAAAAGGAATGGTTAGGGCAGATGATTACCAGCTAAATGTGCCTGCTGGACTGAAGGGAAACAATCATATTCATCTTTTTTTATTTTTTAGTTTTAAATATGAAACCACGAAATACAAGTGTTATTTACATATTGGGTGAATGTGATGTGAGGATGTCATGAAGAATAGCTGAACGTGATCATGACTGAAGCAGGAATATTTTGGTGTGCAGCTGTTCTTCATGCAACAGTGCAGAAAACAAGTGTTAATGCGCTATGTGACCTGTTATTATTTTTCTCTCATATCTATGGCGGGGCTCTCATATGGAGGGGCTGGTTTAATGCAGTTAACATCTCCTATACAAAGTCTGTGGTGCCTTCTGAGGGGTGTGTTGAAGGCAAGATTACAAGTTTTCAGGCACCTTTTCATTACTACTTCTCTCTAAGACATGGGGGCTCAGAGGCTGCCTGGTAAGTCTGCCCAGGGGACAGGGACATCTGCTCCATCTTGGTTGTGGTGGGTTTCATTCTTTCACTGTATCACTGGAAGACTTAACAAATGATTATTGACTCTCAATTGAATTGAGAGAGGTAAAAAAAAACCTGATGTGTCTCCAAGACTATTCCTAATGAATATGGAGGAGACTACAGAAAGGAGAGCAAGTTTGCACTTCAGCGTTTAATTCAGAAGGGATGCAGAGGGATAGCTGTTACCATAGGAGGCAAGATCCCATTGGCTGGGCTGAAGCAGGGGAAGCTCTTCCTTGGGTTTGTGGAGAGGGAGCAGAGAGATTTCCAAGGAGAAGAGGTCTTTCCTCACTGGAGAATTGAGATTAAGCGAAGAAGGAAATACTGTGCAAGTACAAGGAAGATAGGAGAGAGGAGAGCCCTGTACCTCTCAGTTTAAATGAGGATAGAAAAGGTTAATGGGTTGGAATGTCCTCTTTTTAACTTTTTCTTCCCTCATTGTGGCTTGGTATTGATTCCACTGAACAGTTTGAAATCCTGTCAGAAACTAACTCATAGAAAGGCTAAAGTTATATAGATTCACTCCCCCAAAAATTTCTGATGGCAACTTGAGATTTGATTCCTTCTACTCCGAACTGTTGCCACGGTGTCTGGGGAGATGCTCACAAACTGTGAGACTTGGGCTTTTGGACTTTCTTTAGCCCTCTCTCCAACTGGACTATGTCTCCACAGCATGCTGCAGTGCCTGGCCACCACGGAGGGGAGTGATTCAGATCAGAGCATAGCTCCTGCGTATGAAACACCCAGTGTACAAATAGTTTGGTTTCCATCAGTCAAAAGAACGCGCAATTTAGAAACGAAAATTGCTTAAATCTTCCCAAGGAAAGCAAATATTCAAATCTGTTGAAAGCTTTGTGAAAATTGCCCTGTGCTCCCCTACCTCTCCAGCCATCTGTGTTTCTATCTAAACTACCTCCAGATAAACAGAAGATGGAGGCCAGCTACAAACAGGCAGGTAGAGGCTTCTGGGTTTTGCCTACCATAAGGATGACAGAGAAAAACCTCTGTTTTTAGCCCAGAAGTGACTAGAATCTTCTAGGAGAGCGTTAAATGAGGAAGGAGAAGATCACGCTGCAGGCCATGCATAGCAGAGTGGCATGTATGGAGTGAAATGGAACACAACGACTTGAGGAAATAGCTGTATGCAGAGAGGGGCTGTAATTGGAAACAGGTCACTGGCAGGCAATGCAGATGTAAAATGCAGTTGCAATCCACAGGTTGCAGCCATCAAGCAAAAGTCTGGCTGCATTGGATGGGATTAAAATTAAATAAGGTGGACGTGTCTCTTGTTCTTGGGGCTTGGGAAAGAAAATAAAAAATACCCCATTGCTTGAGCCAGGCCTCATGGCCAAAAGTAATTAGAATTATTGGCCAACTAACAACTGAAGCTTTCATTTCCTCCCCAAACAGCAAACAAAAGCTGCAGTGTGGTGGAGACTTGGAGTTTCCCCAGAGAGCTTTGCCCTGGCTGAATGCAATGAGCCTGAGCAGACACTGCTGACGACTTGGTGCATTGGAGTGGCAGCAGGTGCCAAGCTTGGCCCAAGGCATTTCTAATCCTGGCAAAGATAGCTCCCTGCTACTTTTAGCTGAGCAAGAGCATCACATAGAAATGGTAAAAAAACACTGCTAAATGCCAACGTGGTACCAGAGGAACAAGCAAAGCAGAGGAAAAAGTGGGAGGCACGTTTACAAGGCCAAGAGCTTGAAGTTTACTCTTAGCATCATCTGGTGAGGTCTCCTTTGCAGTGGCACGTTCCAGCCAGGACTAGAATTGTCACACCTCGGAGAGCTGGTCCCATTTCTGAGTGCGCTGTTATCAAAGCATCTTCGCTTCTCCCCACAGCCCACCCTGTGCAGTCCTGGCATTTTCAGCAGTGAGGATGGGCTGTGGCTAAAACACACACAACACGTTATATCAAGCCAGTATCTAGAGCAAGAAGCATAAAATGCTTGCTGGGCTCAAATTAAAAGTTGTTTAGATATGCTTAATGGCCTCCACAGCCATATTCTGAGCTGCATTTCAGGAGAATCAGTTGGAAACTGTAGGTTAGCTCCAGCCAGCACCAGTGGCGCTGGGGCCAGAGAGCAATATCCTCAAAGTATTGGAGCAGCAAAGATGGAAAAAGCATTTTCTGGTGCAGCCTCAGTGAGGCTGCTCAGCACAGGGTGCGGTGTGACCCTTCCAAACATGTCAGATCTCACATGCTTTTTAAAGCAAGAAATAAAAGTGTAATGTCATCGAGGCCTCCCTAGAATAGTGCACAGAGAACACAGGCAGCCAGGTTAGCAAAGGGCTTCCTCTCAGGAGGTGATGGATGTCTATGTCTATGGACAGTCTCCTCTACATACAGTCAATATCTAATACATCTCCCTACCAAATAGAAGTGGTAATGGAAGGGCAGCCATGCAGATGTCACCAGAAGTGAGCCTGTCCCTGGTGCTGTGCCACAGCGGCTGTGGTAGGATGTGCTCAGTGATCAGACTGCGTGACATTTGTGCAGGGTGAAAAAGGCATTCAGTTTTCTATGCTGGTCAACAATAGCATGCTTTGCATGCTTTGCAAATATCTGAGAAGCAGAAAAGCAAATTGTACATGTGAGCAGCGTGGCCTGACTTTCTGAGCAGTCTGCACGGGGCACCTTTCAGGCAGTGGAAGCTCAGACTGCTGTGTGCTTTGGTGTGAATAACATGCAGCTTCATGGATAGCTGCAGTGCAATTAAATGGCAAGAACTGCCTACTCAACATGTGCATCAGCCCAGGATGCTGCCATAGCAAAGCAGAGTGTTTCTGCTGCTTTTGAAATTTGGCAAGGGTATAAAAATAATTTAGTGTCTGGAAGACATTTTCCACCAGACGTTTTCCTTTAGAACCAGCAAAAAAAATGTAGTCTAAATTAGTGTTTGGCAAGGTCTTTACAAAGGAAGGTTAGTCAGATGTAGCACACGTAAGATTAACTCTTACAACTATGAAAAGCTCATATTCTGAAAGCAGGAATTTCTTTATGCAGCAGGAGTTTATTTGATTCTAAGATTATTAAGATTATGTTTAGGCTCCTCCACCTCACTCATGTTTTCTTATTCTGAGTATGGCAGTGGCCTGTATTTTGTGTTTATTCAGCACAGCTAGTAATGCAAATCCAAAATCACACAAAAAGCAATGTTCCCTTCTCAACCCAGCCTCAGTTATAAGCAGTTGCTGGGCCACTCTGAGACCTTCTGGGTTGGAAGATGCACAGGGCAGAGGATGCAGGAAGAGGGGACAGACAAGTTGACTGGTGCCACTGAGAAATAAGTGCTATCACAAACAGCCACTCACCCCATCAGAGCCCTGCAAGGGATGGTGTTTGTTTCAGTTCTCTGATGCTCCCAGTGCAGTCAAAATATTTGAAAAACACCATTTTGCAAAAACCTGGGGAGCTCCTGCTTTGTTTTGCATTCGTTGGAAGGAAAAAAAATGTTTTCACAAGAGTTACCAAGAAAACAGCAAACATAAGCTGGGGTGTGGAGAAGCTTTTTCCTGATAGACACATTGGGAGAAAACAAATAAAAGCAATTGAGTGGAGAGGAATGCTTTTGTCACTGGCTGGTTGTAGCAGTTCAGCTAGTTAGGTCAGCCCCTGGGCCCAGTCCTTTCAGATGACATCTGGGGACAGGAACGGATAGCACAGCACTTTCCCAGGCAGGGAGCGGGCTCTGCAGGTACGTGCTCACCTTGTGAGTGCATGAGAATTAAAACATCTGTTACAACCTCTTGGATAAAACTTGCTTCAGATGGGGAAACACGAGGTAACTGCATCTTAATTCCAAGCGGCAGTATTGTAAGTTACTTATTTTTCTGCAGAGCATTAGTGATGGTTAGATTCGAAGTGAGAAGATGCAGGGACTGTCAGCTCGGCCTGCCTGGGAGATGTGGGGAAGCGTGCTCTCTGCCCTGCATTTGTCCATTGCCCACTATGGGCCCAAAACTGAGAAACAAGTATTGAAAGCAAGTAAGAACCAAGAAAGACCTCACCCTTCAGGTATTTCTGCAGGGGAACAAAAAGGAAGAAAAAAAAAGAATAAAAGAAAAAAGTAAATAAGAGGTACCAGAGCTGTAGAACTGGGAAAGAAAACTGTAGGCATAGGGCAGGAATAGAAACTGGCTTTGGTTTCCTCTACATCCATGCACTACTGCACCAAAAGGACAGCAAGCATTAGCAGGGCAAAGAAAATGTGCATTTGTTTTCTGGTTTTCCTGTCCTGTACAGATAATATCACATGCCTCAGAGGCTCAGACATCCATCATCTTACCTGCAAGCTACGCAGAGGGCAGAGAGCAAAGCAAGTACAAAGAAGACAGTCCCTGTTAAAATTGCCAGCATCAGTACATTTTCCATTCTCTCCTGCCTCACAGCATCCACGGTGTTGGGTTCTGTGATGTTCTTGTACTCAAAGAGCATTGCGAAACCTCTGCCCCGGTTGGTGGTGGTAATGAGTTCCATGATAACCTCAACCATTTCCAGAGACGAACCAAAGACCATGGTCCTGTTTAAAGGTGAATTTGGTCCACAGAAACGAGAGGAAAACGTGATGAGATCTGAAACATACAGTACGTCGTGGGGACAGACATCCACTGCCGGCTGCTGGCTGGAGATTTCCACTGGCAGTATTGTTGTGGGAAGCGTCCAGCTCTCTCCCAGACTTTCATCTCTCTCACTAGCAGCTAGGTGGGCAAACAAAATATTGCCTTTCCAACCTTCTTTTGTTTCTTGGCCGCTAACATTTTGCCTCTGTGTTTTGGCGCCATCGGAATCAGGTAATGGCTGTTCTTCTCTTTGAGTCTCCGTAATCGCTTTGCGTTCCTTCATCTGTTTTGGCCGGTTTCCTTCGGACGTCTGTTTGGCTTCACCTTTCTTTGAGGCTGCTCCTGGAAGTTCGTCCAGGTGGCCAGGAAGTCCTTCTGACTGATCTCCTGCACCGCTCAGATTCTGAGCTGCCTTTGACGTCCAGCTCTGAAGAGAGGATTCTGTAGTCTGGAGAACGAAGTCCAGGTTTTCCTCGGGAGGAGTCACGTCCTTATTTCCTGTTATCGCAGCAGCTGGAAAGCCATCCCAGGGGGTTGGAGTTTCACTTGAGCTCTCAAAAATGTCAAAGTCAAAAATTTCCAAGATGAGATGCATTCTTACGGGAATGAAGAATTGCCAAACGCAGTGTGTCCCCGGGTAGTAGTTGTTTGGAAATCCTGGTGATAAAATCAGGCCTCTTTCCATTGACTCCACCACCGCGCCACAGGAATAATAGACCTGGGAAATACAACAAATACACTTACTTCTTGCCAGAGACAACATACAGGACGCAGCATGCTGGACCTACGGAAGATCCTACCCCTTCCCTTTAGTGACTGGTGTAGACTTCTACAGGCTTCATGAATTCTGAGTTCCTGAGGCTATCTTCTGCTTGCACATTCAGAGCCTTAATCTCTAATATGGACAACCAGTCTCAGACTGTGAGAGCGCGTACTGAGCACACAGCTTCTGAGGAAATATAATCCAGATGAGCAATTCACACAGTGTTCATTTTCTATCCCTATTTCAATTATAATAGCATCCCTTTCTGCTTTTGGCTGATGCACGTTCCCAGGTTACTGAATCCTGAATACATTTGTTGTTGACACACAACTCTTTGCTGCACAAATGTGTCATCCTAAACAGCTTGTAGTGTGATAAAAACCTTAAGCTGAAGAAAAACTGTGTCACTACAGCATCTTGAATTCTATGTTATTCTCATTACAAAACCACTTTTTTAAGTGCAACAAGGCCCTCGCACTGATGATTATCCATGAATCATCTAAACAACTTATCTTGGTTTCAGAGACGTTTGGACTTATTTACTTCAGTAATACAGGCAGTTTTGATTGGGTACATTTTCTCTTGAAATGCAAAGGCTCTGGAAATAGTGCCAGCAGATACCCGCTCACACTGGTAGGCCAGCAATCTGCAAGCATTTTGCATAACAGTGACAGTTCCGTTTGAAATTCATTTCTTCTTGCTCTATAAATAGCCTTCACAGTCTCCCAAAAAGGAAGAAATGGGTGCACTGCCAACCATTCTGCTTCTTTAAAGGTAGGCGAGGCTGTTTTCACACATCATATTCACAACAACCTTTCCCAGAAGTAAGCTCCCGGAGCCCTTTTTCAAGATGCTTTCCATAAACGTGCGGGGTGCAGAGCCCTGTCTGTGCCTGGGGCAACAGCTTTTGAAAAGGAGAACAAATAAGTCACAAGTGCTGAGGTCATGAGCCTTGTCTGGGAGCACGTGTTTACTATCATAAATTGGAAAAGAAAGAGAATGCTTGGGGGTTGTTTTTATTCTTTATTATTATTGTTGGATTCATTGTCTCAGTCTGTTATCTATTTAAACACAAAGAAAGCTTGGCAGTAGAACAAACAAAGCTTATGAAGTCCATATAAAGCCACAAAGATCAAAATACTCCAGATTTCTTTTTTTTTCTCCCGGTCCCTCCCCGTCTCATGTTGAAATGGAAAGAAGAAAAAAAAACAACAACCCAAATGTTAAAAGCCCCTAAATAAAAACAAACCAAAAAAGGCTGGGTGTTCTGCAAGGCATTAGCTTTGTTTTCCAACAGGTGCTTTTCATATTCAGAGCGATTTCAGGGGGGGTGGCAGGGCAGCAATAGGAAAGGACCAAAACAGTGGTGAAATAGAAATTGTTTTCTATACTCCAGGTTGAAATCCGATCTTTGATTTTTAAAAGTGCCTCTTAAATCACAGGTTGAGCTAATTATAGGGGAATGAACTGCAGGTTTCTCATTTAAGACACCTGGACCATGGCTTGAAGTTTCAAGTGAAAAAGAAACCATGCACAGCTGCTCAGGTTTTCTGTCTAATCATTGGTGCTGTGCAGTAATGCAAAAATGGCTAAGCTGTGTGCCATTCTCTCCAGGAGGTAATATGTTGTTATTATTATTCGAGTCTAAATCAGTTTATTCAAATAGAAATCCAGAGGAAAACATTGTCAGTTTAGGAGGATACAGATCCTAACTTCCACTTTTCCATCTGAATTATGGATGCATTTGTTGTCACTTTGTAAATGCTGTTGATAAGGAGCTGGTTCCCACTGACTGAACCCTTCTTCCCTTAGGGAGAGGGTTACTCTGTGACACAGTTTCCCTGTGAGGTCCCTCTGTCCTGGGCTGTCCATGCAGATTGTCTTCATTTCATGGCAGTCTCTTGAGCTCACTCATAAGCAAGATACTGGTGTAACAGAATGCAGCATGCAATACCTAACTTTCCATTTAAAAGAAGCATCCAGTTTCGGAGCCAGAACGTGCACCAGAACTGTTGCTGCTGAAGGATACCTCTGCTGTCTGTAGGAGGATTTTGTGTGGGCCCAAACTTCCTCAGTTAGCGCTCATTGAGGCTGAGGTTTTGTTTGGAGGAACATGCCGACTGATTGGGTTCTCTTTTTTCAGATACCAAGAAGGCAGTTGGAGGTGTTTGCAGCCCCACCTCTCCTACCAGAACTCTGCTAATGTCTAAAAGCAGCAGCTGTCAGCTCAGCAGCTCTCACACTGAATGGGTAAGTGCCTTCTTATCCATTTCTCAGCCCTATTCTCAAGTGAGGTGCACTTTCCTGGCTTCGTTTCCACCTGAATCTGTCACCATTTGGAGCAAAATACTGTGCAGATTCTGCATGCACCTCAGGAGCCTCAGGTCCAGGCTCAAAGGCCTCTTGCTCCCCACAAGCCACGTGGCTCCCAGCCACTGCAATATTTCGCTGAAACCCAACAGGTAGCCATGCCCACAGGTGGGGATTGGGAATTGTGCAACGTGTGCATCCAGAAATACATCTGACAGGTCATGGCTGCAGGGCAACCGTTCATTTGCTATGGCCCATGAGACTGAAAACATTCAAGATTTGCTCAGACAACAGGGAAAAAACACCCAAGGGACAGGAAACGCAGCATAGATCTGAGGGTGGGGAAAAAAAGATTTCTGATAAATTTCTAATCCAGAACTGAATGACTGACAACACTGCTTAGTTCATTTACATCATCCATTTTGCAGGCTGAATTTCATCAATTAGATGCAGATGTTCCCTTCCACAGCAAGTGGTATATTCACAGGCTTTTGACAGAGGCATGCCAACAATTTGGCACGTTTTAGACTTTGCAAATTATAGGTTGTTGTTTGTTTTTTATAAACAACAGTTTTTACACCAATTAGGCCAATTATGAGTAGGGTGGAGATTTATTTATTTTTTCTTTTTTTTTTAATCTGCTAATAAGACAACTCCTTGAGAGTGTTGATGAGAGGCACAGCAAAATTCTGTGGGCTCAGAAGGGATCTCTTCAGAAACACGGTGCTTTTGGAAGGCAGCAAGGGCTGCAGTTTCCAAGCACACAATTGAGTGGGATTGGGAATTACTATTGTACTGAGATGTGAAATACAGTGACTATCTATAGGAAATCGTAAGGTATGAGGAAAGGCTGGGTGTTCACCAGGTAGCAGGGGCCATGTATATGGCAGGTGGCCCACAGGAGTCTTCAGGAGTCGTGGGTATTGGTCTCGCCCAGTCACTGGAAGCAGGCAGGGCTGAGTTTTTAGGCTTGTCTGGACTGCCTCCAAAAATGGATTGCTTTTAGCATGAGATGGGAGGCTGAAGGGAAGGTGGGGAGGGTGCTGTTGCACGTAGCTGGTAAGAGGAGGTGTCATGGTGTGTGGTTTGTCTTGTAAAGATGGAAGCCCTGTTGAAGAGGAGACAAAGTGATGGAATGTGCTGGCTAGGGAAACCCTCAGACTATTTGTGTTCATAGCTTTTGCTGCAAAAGAATGCAGTACTGATACTGCAGTACTGACCTTCATTCATGTTAATGCTGGCATGAGGAATTGCTGTTTGCAGCACCCTGGAGGTTGCTGTCCTGCCTGTATCCCATGCACAGTCCCAAAGGCATTTTTCTTTTGAAGCGTTTGTTTCAAAGAAGAGAAAGGAGGACATCCTGTTTTGATGTTTGTCATTCCTCTGCCGGCACAATCTCAGATTCTCTGCCTTGGGTGCTGCCCAATGTAGTTTGTTTTCTTTTACAGTGTAGTCACCCAAGGAATATCAAGCTGTCTTACTGTGCATGCAGAGCCAGAGTGAAAGCCTCAGCAGAGCAAGCTGGAGGCATACAGCAGAGCCACTCCATTTCCAAGACATTCTCAGGGGCCAACCCCCATACTTAACAGAGACACCCAGTTGCAGGCACGCAGGGAAAAGATGTGCAAAGATCATAACCTACTTCTCCCTCATTCATGCATTATGCACGTCTCGATTTCTGTGCATTTCTCACATGTATTTCCAGTTTTAGGCAGACTTAAAAATGTCACTTCCACTTCTCTTTAGAAATGCCAGAGAAGGAATAATCAGCTACATCTCAAGCTGACTGAACGTTTAAAAGCTGCTGCATTTATTAGTGTTTTCAGGAACAGATGTGATTATCTCCTTATCCAAGTTAAAGGGCTTTTTGGTCTTTGCTTAAAGGGTGCACCAGAAAGATTTAATATTAGTGTAATGAGAGAAGATGGGGATAGAAGCTGTTTATGCAGACCTTAGGCATCACTCTTGAGTCAGAACGTTTGGTTATGATCCTGTGCTTATGACCAAAAGAGCCTTTTATGTTTCATCTTTTCTTGCAAAATGCATCCACTAAATAAATGATACTTCACTGATTACTGGGGTACTGGGGAGGTAGCAAAAAGAGAACTCCTCCAGGTAGATTTTTTGCTTTGTTTCAAAAAGCCAATCCCCTGCGGCCACTTGGTGCCAAAACAAGACTCCAGGAAGCATATGGCCCTTCTACAGAAGCCTTATCTTGTCAGCCTCCAGCTGACTCTACAGCAACCATAGAGATATGCAATTAGCTTTGGACAGAGATGGATTGGTCTTAGAATCCAAGATTGTTCAGTCTGGGTGACTAAATTTAGCCATCTGAACTCACCGTGTATCAGCGGAGTGAAAAGCCGGCAAGCTTTATTTAGGATCCCTCACCCTCCAAAATTAAATACATCTTATGTCCACACATGCATGCACATGTGTGTTTCTTTCAAAGAGCTGGCAACACTTTAGCACTACTTCACCAGCTCCTTCACATTTTATTCTGCCCCAGGGACCTCTTTAAAACCCTGGATCCACCAATCTCTGCAATTGCCTGTAACGTGCAGAGGGAGGTGAGGAATCTCGGTTACTTCCCCCTCCAAACACAGGAGGTTCATTTTGAGTTAAATATCACTGGGACTCACTGGGGTGACTGAACAGAGCCCCCCACGTGGGATGTAACACCAAGCGGCCTGACCTTTTGGCACAGCAGGAAGAAAATGCTGAACTTCAGACTTTAGAAAGAAAAAAGAAATAAAGAGGGAAAGAGGGGAAGTGGCCGTTCCCTTCTTCGAGCTTAAGGGAGGAAGCAAAATATAGACAAGCCTTTACTTGCTGACGTGGCTGGAAATAGCTGCAAACTACCAGAAATACAATTCTTGTGGTTCCCAGCAGAAGGCCCAAGTTCTGCTCTCACAGTGTTTCCAAGTTACAGCAGTCTGAGCGTTTTGGATGCTCATCAAATACAGGATCTAAGGAAAGACAATCCCAAGAGTAAGATACAAAACTCCAGTCTGTTGGTTTAAGTGACCACATTTACTTCGCTAGCTGACTGATCCAGAGATCAAAGTTGGTTGAGATTTTTTTTTTTTCCAGCTGGAAGAGAAAGTTAATCAGAGGCTTTATAAAATTAGCACTCTACTTAATTTTGCATTTTCAGGTCACCTCTTCATGAAAGGTTTATTTTCTTTCATTAGAATGAACTAGATACAGCAGCAGCAAATCTAATCTACTTTTTCACTTGGCAGCATAAGAATTTGTGGAAATGCCTTGAAATTGCTGTCCTCTCCACTAAATTGCCTTTGCTCTTCAAAGCATGAGGCAGCAGCAAAAGGAGAATCCCATTCTGTACTACGGAAATTCCTCAAGCATCTTTGGATGCTTGAAAGTAGAATGTCTGGTGGTGGAAGGTCAGGACATGGGACTGACAAAAACTGCAAACAGCTTGCTTAGAATTAAGGAGAGGTTTCCAGGGACCTTTTTCCAGTTCTTAACTATGATTTTTTTTCAGACTGATCCTCTAAAGAATTCTTAATTTGGAGAGTATTCCCTCTGCTGAGGGGTCTCCTTTCCCTCCCCATCCCAACACAAATCCATACAGCAGCACCTCCAGCCAGCGTTCTTGCCCTGTGCCCTGGAGAAGCTTACAGCAACAAGCACTGTACAGGACTTGAGAGTAGAACCCTGAAACCACGCCGAACACACATTTGCTTTGAATTAAATTACAGAATCAAAGCAGCCATCCTTATGTTTTCAAACAAGGGTCCAGGATTTATTGAAATGAGCACAACCTGCAGGATTTAAGCAAAACCAAGGCTACATTTTTTAACAGATGCTCTGTTATTTCAGTAGTGGGTAGCAGCAGTTCCACCACATGGATGTGATTATGGATGTGACATTTCCACTCTGCAAATCCCATTTCCAGGAAAGAACCCATCTTGTCTTACATTCTTACTTGGCACACATCAGCCGGTTTTGCAGTGCCCTGTTTTCATGCCTATCACCACATTTTCTATTGTTCTTACTGGTTCACAGGACATTTGAAAAGAACCAATGCACAGGTAGGAAGGGAAGGGGACTATAAAAGCCTGAAGGTGCAGGAGGTGAGGGAAAGAAAACTATTGCCACTGGAGCAGAGGAGCAAAGCAGGAATGCGGTGCTGCAATTAGAGCAAAGAATGCAATGTCTGAACAAGGCTTCAGGAGCTGGAGGCCCAACTGTGCCTCCCACTGCAGGCATGCTGTTTTCTCTTATTCCTCCCATATGCGAGTTTGCTGCAGCTGAGCCCTGAAAATCTGAAAAAGCCTGCTGGGAAGGTGCTGCTTTATTTCACATTCTCTTGGCTTTGTGGAAAAGAAGTCGGCGAGGTTGCAAATGTTTGTGTAATCTTGGAGAAAGGCAGGTAGGCTCTGTCAGAACCGAAAGCGTGATGGGGCTGGGGACGTCCTCACCTGCTGGCAGGTGTCAGCAGCCAGCTCTCAGCACCTGCCTGGGGATGCAGCTTCTCCTGCAGCACAGTGCCAAACTGCTAGGCAAGCCATTGCCACAACAAATGTCTGTGAGTCAAAGCAGCTGCAGAGTAAGTGGCAGGAGAAGGTCAGCGATTTCATTAGAACCAGGAGGCCCAGGCCCTCAGCACAGTAAGGTCCCGACTTCACAGCTGCAGCGTATTTTGATACCTGGCCTCCGACAGATCGCATAACTGCACCATGAGGTCACCATCCTTCCTACTTGAGCCTCTCTGAGACTGGGAGGTGGGAGAAAGGAAAATCACAAAAAAAGAACCAACCAACAAACATGGGCACTCAGGCAACCACCAGACACAGCGATGCATTCCAGTTTCTGTGGAGAACAACAGACCTCATTTGACTCCAGAGATGCAATGCCCTTTGCTGCTCACAAAAAAATGCTTGTTCCCAGAGATAAAAACAGGGGCTGTTTCC